CTAATACTGATAAAGTAGGAAAAGCTTCGCACACTAGCTCGAACGTACAAAGCTCTTGATTTCATCATGCTGCTGCGTCTCCAAATACTCGCTTTTAAATTGATGTCAGGAAAACTATTCACTTAGGCAAGAACAGGAAGATATCTTTCACAACACGAACAAAGTTGGTAGGCTAAGTATCTTATTGAATAAGAGAAAAGAACGGCAAACCTACCCTCACATTTTATCAGACCAGACAGTAGTGCTATCGCTATACATACAGCTACAGCAAACAACTTTAATGCATACTTCGGGTAAGCTTTCAACACCGAAAATGCGATTCTAGTACCTACCATTTTATCTTTCATCCAGCTAACTGTTTATGTCGTGAACTGCAACATCGGAGTCATTAAACGCATGATAAACTAGTTGCGGCCATCCTATAACTCTGGTCTCGATGGTATCCCAGCTGTAATCAAGTGCGGTGGTTAAGGTATTCCGGTGTGATTACTGAATATTTTTTTTCCTTTACTTACAGTCAGGTCAGTGTCCTGAGAAATGAAAGAAATCTGTTGTCATATCGCGATATACATCTGGGCCTAAAACAGATATACGCAAGTATCACCCTATTAGTCAGACAACTGTCTTATCACGACAGATGGTGAAAATAGTAAACAAAAAACACTTCTTTACTCTTATTGAACCGCCTTCTTTCCCTTCCGCAAGGAGGAATTCAATTTGTTTTTCTTGCATAATTTGCCAAATTGATTTCTTAGATGGCCTTACCGGAGCTAGATTCTGGACTATAGTGCAATGATCTTTCTTGACTTATCAAAAGATTTCGAAAGAGCTCCACACAAAAGACATATCAGAACTGCTTCTCGCCTGGTTTGAATCCTAGCTGACAGGACACTCGCAGACAGTCAACTTAAATGGATTCAAGGCCACTCCCAAAAAAGTTACTCTTGGTATTGTTCAAAGCAGCGTTCTATCTCCTCTTCTTTTGTTATACACAAAAGACCTTATACCTATCATATGCTTCGGAAACTCATGTTTATTTGCAGTTGGGTTGAAAGTAGTGCGTACGTTCCATGCGTCCTAATATATAACTGAAGTAGCCAACGTTGAACGCCATCTACAACCCAGAGAGAACTGGGCTGTGAAGTGGCAGATGTACTTCCTCCCCTCGAAATGCATTATAATGACATGGACATCATATAGAGGCAGGAATATTTCTACTTCTTGGTGATCCATTCTAGTTTGCTCTTCTGTCTACAATTGAGGACTGCGGTATTCCAGCTCCCCATATTTCGGCGACTTATGCTGCGACTAACGCGACACAAATATGACATATACTAGGCAGTTAATAACGCCGAAGGAGACAAGACTCATAGCATATTAACTCAATATAAGTCCCTTGTTAGAATACCGTCGGGTTACGTTCTTGTGACCTTACGTATATGTAACCTGAAGGGTTCAAGGTGCCATCACCAAACGCGTCTTTGAGTACTCCACACTTGTTGCTTATAAAGATAGATATAATTAACTAAAATCTGAGCATTTATAGTCGCGTGAATTACATTTAAATTTTAGCTTCCTGCACCAACTTGTGTGGCGAAAAGTGCATAGTGAACCCCACTCTATGAGATTTCGGTTGGTTAGCAGATTTGAAATACGAGACACAGAAACTATGATTGTAGAGTCTTCATTCAGGACGACAGTTAGACCAATCTTTTATAAGGTTCAGCCTGAGAAGGAATACAGTACCTAGTTACATATGATTTGTAAAAAGGTAAGCTTATTCAACAAAGTCTTAAAGTTTTCCTGACATCTGCGAAAGTGGAACGTATCTCAAATTTGTAAATAAACGATGCTAAATTATTTGAGGATGAACCGGGTCAAATATGAAACACAAAGAGCACGGGAGTCAATTACACTGTTACTCGAAACCTACTCTCAGATAGCTTTCTACACGCTTGCAAAGGTTCCTTAATTCATTTGCATGTCTCCGCTGATAGATAACGAATCTTTTATTTGTGGTCGATTGTCTGGAATTAATGAACTAATCCCGTTCCAATTCTAATGGCATCTATTGATCGTAACTTGCACGACAGCACTTACGACCGCAGAGATTCTATAACCTGCTGATAGATTAGGTCTGCTGCTTGAATTCCTTACAAAACCCTGGCCAGTGTGTTGAAATTATCTCTCGAACTCTTTTCCCATCGTTGTTATTTGCCAAGAATTTCCATCAAATATTGATTGTAATTATTAGCATGCTCCTTGATTCTTCATGGTTTAAATTCTTCCTTATTTTCTTGCTAGCCTCGATTGGTCTGATCTCTGGTGTCGACGAGTTACAAATTCCAAGCTAAAAACTTATACCAATGCAAAGCGTACTGCCATTGACTCGCTGAAGGTATTGCTTATGAACTACAGTGCACTGTCATCTTTCTGACATCAAAAAGAAGTGTCTCGCTCAAATACATGACTAAGGGAACGGGCTAGGTGGTCCGATAGCCCATAACGTCTCTAAATGCAAACCTAAAATATGATAAAAATTGACGGTCTACTTGCTATATTGACACCTTGGCACATTGCCAGTTGGAGTATGGAAGTGCGAGCGAAACCATCGTGGGAATATCCCATATAGAAGCAGGCCCCCTGGGGGCGGTTTCATGGATAGCTGTATTTTGTTAACTCTGCATTTGTTATTGTTCCTAGTTTCTTAATCTCTCTGACATCTTCAAACTGCCAGTCGTGTAAAAATGTATGGGATTCATTGTATAAAGCGTGAACAATTCCCACATTTATACAATCTCGCTGTAAAAGTTGACCAGACCACACAGTTGGGCTGTGCCTCGCACCATCGAGGTATATGCCATGTAATTATTTGTTTATTTATTGATCGGCCTGGGGGAATTATCCGCAAAACCAATGTGCGTGACCGTGTCGCAGTACGCATATTTAATTTTATTTGAATTTGTCGGAAATTAACTGACACAGAAATAATTTGGTCTAGTTTGCAAGTAAAATCGGCCACGATCAGCTGCTTCATTATTTAACTCCTTTCGATGACCGTCCAATGATCCCCTCCAATCTGGTAAGTAGGGATGACCGGCAAGCACATGCACAGTTACGCCACTCAGCATCATGGCAGTGATTCTCACACGAAACTCAGTTTCGACGAATATCCTTACGATATTCTTACCAGGCAATTACATCTGCAGAGCATTGGGGGGGCATATACATATTAGAGTAGGTAGAGCGGTGCTTAATTGAGCTGGGTCTGCTTGAATGAGGTCATTACACTCGATCAAATCAGGGGGCAAAACTTTAGACCGAACAGCAGTCTTATGCATAAGGCACACTTGAGTCAGTCAGTAACAAAGAACAAGATCAAAGAAAAAAGAACAAACTGCCTAATGTGAAAGAATTCACGTTACGGCATGGTAAGCCGCCGGATCTCGCAAATCAAGCTATGCTTTCATAGCCGCAGTTGCGTTAACCTGATGGTAATCCCTTCTCCAGTCATCCTCACACACGCGTGACGTGCGTGCTACTGGTTCATTTGGATTATTTCCCTCTATCCTCTCTCCATCTTCTCGCAGCGTTGTCACTGTACGCTCATTCGAACCGGATTTACCAGCTCTACACAGTGATCCATCATACGTGGAAATATCTTCTACGATTAGAGGCTGTGCCATCACGAACGGTTTTCACTGGCATCTGTGATTAAGCGCAAGCGTTTAATTCAATCGTATTGAGCTGATTGCCATTCTGTGTGACACCATTCGATACAGAATTCTCGAGGCAGGCCGAAAAGCCTAAGCTTAGTCCGATCCAGTGTTTCTCAACACAGCTGTGAAAGAATCTGTGTTCAGCGCTCTGTTCAGGTTGCAGTCACTCGCCATTCCTTGTGACCTTGTCAGCCAGTGCGGCTGCATTACCCATCACACGGACCGCGCGACCACGCCGACCGCTCATTTGACTTTGCAACCACCACGCTCGCCTGACCGATGTGCGCCGCTCTCAAAGCTGTAAAGGTACAGAACGCTAACCAACCCACTGGGTCAGTTAACGACACCAAATTGAATGGCAAAAAGGCGAAACCGAAGAGACTCCCATCGAAAGGCATTTGCGCATTAGGAGAATGTCATCGGGTAGTAAAAATTGGTCTGGCTTGTTCGCACTGTTTGGAATGGTACCATACGAAATGTGCAAATGTGTCCCAACAACAGTTACGGGAGCGAAATAGGTCCCACGATGCATTTTGGTTTTGTACTGCGTGTTCCACCATCCCCCTCGTTAAGTGCTTGCTTATCCTAGCTGAGAAATGCGACCGGTTAATCGCAGAAGCAGAGCAGAGGATAAACAATGAGATTATTTCAATGGGAGCGAGTATGGACCACAGAAGCGTAGCGGCTGCTAAGCAACGAAAAGCTGAACAAATCGCTTCCCTTGCACCGCAATCAGCCAGGTCTCCATCTCCGTTGTCTTCTCCAACTTTGGTAGAAGGCCGGGCGAAAACAGACTATTCCTACGTGAATCAAGCAGTACTCACAGCAAAGAAAATCAGGCACCATTCAAAACGTCTGGTTAAGCAAATTCCACTAGACCTGACATCTAGTATTAACAAGGATGGAGCAGCCAAACACCAACCCTTGGTACCTGTAGCTCAAATATCTCTTGTCGAGACTAAGCCTCCCAGAACATCGGTTACATATGCAGAGATTGCTGCAAGGGTTTCACCGAGAGTCCGCCGTTGCGTCCTCTTCCATTGTAAACAGCGTTAACGAAAATGGAGAGAAAAAGAGCAAACAATCACTTGTCAACAAGTCAAGACAAGTGAGTACCATACCTTGTAGATCGATTAAAAAGGGATCCAACAACAGTGCCCGGACTGTTTTATGCTCATATGTACCTGAATCTAGCGCCATCACATTGCGGGATAACACACAGACTGTGAGTGCCGTAATTTTGCAGTAACATGCAGAGACAGTGCTCAGCAAACGTAGGCGGGACTGTAAGTGGTTGTACTTTTGAGTAATACTGAGTCCAAAATCGTGCAGCAACCGTATGCCAATGGATGTATAAACTTCTGCACGGCACTAAAGCCGCTGATGTCTGGTGCGAGGTAATGGGCTACGTGTCCGACGCGATTCACCAACCAACTGGGAAAAATGGGTGAGGAGAATCATGTCAAAGGTCATGCAAATTGCAGTCGTAATATTTTGTACTATGCTGGATGCCCTAGAAAGTGCATACTGGGAATAAGAGCAAGCAATGAAGAAATGCTCCTTGGAGTAGTCGAGGATTAGTTTATTTTGCACACTGGTACAAATCCACGCTTGCCGTCGATGGGATAAGTACCATCAGAAAGTCGAGGTGAAGACAGATCGAGTAAGCTTGTCATGGAAGCTTTTCGACTCCATTCTCCTTCTGGACTAACTCAAGGTAGCCGTCGGTTCTACCTGCGTGGATAACGTTGGGCATCGGCGACTGAGTGATACAAGCCCGTGACACAAGCACGTGGAGGTCATCAAAATCATATTAACTTGAGTACCTCCGAATCCTGCGTGAATACTCTGATTTGCTCGGCATACTTGTCGTCGTATGTAGGGTCAAATTATTGACTGTTTGCGACGATATCATCAGAACGCGGTTGGCCCAAGTTGGATAGGAAACAGTAGCGCTGCGGCCGATTAAGTAGGGAAAAGATGAGCAGCATGAGGGAGAGCAGAGGCACCTGTTTCTCAGTCTAGTCGTTACATGTAACAACCTTGATCCTTATGGTCCCTCAATTGTTTCACAAGTGCCGAGTGTTCGTAGATCCGTCTTGATTCCAGTTTGTAAGTTTTCCAACCCCTTCGTGAACCTGTGCATGAGAAAGAGCGGAATTAAGTGAATTCCCAACTCAAATATTGAATTTACGCTTGGAATGGTGGCACCGAGGGTGCTATCTGAAGTCAAAAAGTGGAGGTAGCTCAGGTCAACTTCTTTGTCAGACGTGTTAACATGGTAGCAAACTCACGGGAAAGTATGCAACGTCGTTTCCAAAGACGTTGGATATGGTACGTCACATGGAAGTTAACTCGGTGCAGTGGAATTGGAGTAAAACACAAAACCAACGAAATGGGACGATACCGAGTAAAATGTGTAGTATTATTAATTACACTAGCCAGTATTGCTGGACGTTGACCCTAGTTAGCAAGCGGTGGTCCAACAAACTGTACGTGCGTTCTATTACAGGTACCTGCATCAGTTGATATGAGATGTATTTTCACTCGAAGAGCATACCTTTGGCCTACATTATGTTTCCGTGGGTGACAAAGTGGTTGCATCCGATATATTACCAAATGGTAACATTTTTTGTTTAAGAGGCTAACTCGTTGTACCACCTGGTTCTAAAACCATTCTTCAGTAGTCTGATGCCCCTGATGGATAGATAATGTATTCTCCAAAGTTTGTGTATCTCGCAAGCAGAAGAGGGAAAGGCCGGATAGAAGACTTGTGAGTTTCCTTGTGATTGTTCCCTAAACTCAAGGTCACTGTAACTGGCAGCCATGATTATTGGCCTGTTTTGTCGCTGTACTCAGCCACCAGAGTGGGTCAACTTCAAACACATATGAATAAAGTAGCGCAAAGCAAGGCGTTGAATCTTGTTTCCATAATCATGGTTGACGGAGGCTAAAGAATACCGCCCACCCACTTTTTCTTATTCCGCGGGTTCGTTCCTCGCCATTTTTGGCCATGTTCCAACTTAGATGGATCAATGTCGGGATGCATGTGGGTGGTGCTGGGTGCCGGGTGCTACAGCAATCATTGGATCCTTTCTGGAATGAAATTTCATGCAATCAACGGGTTTAGTCCGTTTGTCTGTCCTTAAGTTTCATCAGCTGAGTGTCAATCCGATGCTTCGAGCATCGAAATTAAGGTAAACTTACTTGAGTTGAGCAGCACGTTAGAATCAGTTTACGACACCTGCCAATGTCCACTGTGATGCTTTACGGTAAAGTTACGGATGCGATGAGTGAGACAGTGACGTGCTTCTGTAACTGTTTGGTGGTAAATTGATCAGATGCATGTCTAGTGTGGTGCATAATTTCATAATGGTCATGATCAACTTTGTCATCCATAATGTCAGTGGGCTGAAACACCCACATGAAACGAATGCCGTTGCGCCCGCGCTCACGGCCCTGTCACCTCGGCTCACGATTCCAGGGGCAGCTGCTGTGCTGGTGACCACCAGCCGTAGCATTAATGGGGCCTATGTAAACGGTCACGGATGTACTAGCCCCCAACGTAGCTGAACAAGTAATAGATGTTCTTCAATAGATACGCCGCTATCAAATGTTCCACTAGCTGGGGGCCTAAATAAGGTATCCAGCACTCCATCCCCTCAGAACGTGGATTCTACTGATCTTACCCCCCAAAAACCCGAGTCGGCTGGTACTCAGAACCACACTATTTCACACAAACACAACCACTCTTCCAGTTCTAGCGGTTTGGCCAGCTCAAACACTATCTCCGTATAAAATTACCAACTACCCCACACGGCCTAAGAAACCATTAGCTTTCAATGTCCTTGCTTTCAATATGCGTGATGCAACTGATCACCATGACACCGTCACAACTTTCGGTAAAGTAGCTAATGTGAAATCTCAAATGCTAAAAGTCATTAGGGTGCCTAAAGGATACAATCCTACCCACCACCAGTAAGATTTAGTTCTGTGGACCGGGCCACGTTGGAGTCGCTTATTAGCGTGGTAAAAACCATTCGGAAAGTCCCTCATCTATCAAAGTTTACTTCAGTAGGTTACTTGCTCAACCCAATTTTTTCGTCCATCCGAAAACGTCTGTAGCCTCCATTCTGGGTAAACCATGTGCCTCCACTGGCTCTTTCCGCAATATAAAACATTCTTATATCCCTGATTGACTAAATGAACTGTATTTTTTGGTGATCTGCGTAGGAAACCCCATGTCATCCCTCTCCATCAAACCTACAGCCTTTTTCTGAACTTTCTCATAATGATCCAGATGTAAATTTGGAAATTAGACCTACACCATCAACAAGTTCCATAACTGCTCAAAAGTATCCCAACTCTTTGTCCCTAACTTATAATGATACATCGCCTGATATCTACCCCAACTTATACAACCAGTTAGCGTGTCTACCTATCCAGACACTATCTACTAAATCGCTCCTTTTCAATGCTCGCTCACTTCGAAATAAGATCCTACTCTTCGCTCCTCAGTGTCTCACTTTAAACCTGACTTTACCTTAGTGACAGAGACATGCTTTACAAGCGAAATGCCACAGTGATTTTTCTAACTTGACCATGACCACAGCGTTCTTGATAATTGAACCTCGGCACCTGGAGGCGGTTGCATCATATACGTCTGATAACTTTCAAGCATCGATGTTATGCACTTCCCTTCAAGATAGGAATATTGACAGCATAATTGTACATGTTGTTCTATGTAGAACCACGATGATTTTAGGTTGCACTTACTCCCCACCGAATCCCAGTACAGATGACTTACAAATCCTGGAACACTTGATTTGCTACTTAGTAGAACGACCCGTTAACTGCAACTTAGTAGTATGCGATTTAAATATGCAGGATATTGACTACAGATTGTGCGCCGCACCTACTAAATATTCGACACTGTTGTCTTCTACACATATCTATGGATGGGCACAAACTGTCCATTCACCCACCAGAGGAAACCACATCCTCGATTTATTCCTTACACTAGATCTATCCAATGTCATTGCTGTTGTTCTAGACAAATTTCCTGGATGCAATCGCAAGCTGATCCAACTCTCCTTCGAGAAGCAATTTTCTGATCCTACCCGGACTAAACCTGCAGTCCACCGTAGACCATACAATTCCATACACCTGAAGTCGTTTTCCGCCCCTGAGATCTATGCCATGGGAGAATTTCTTCCTAACGTATGGTCCGCAAGTGGCTGCCGATGAGTTCTACAAGAATACAGGGCTTTGTCTAGACGCTCCAATACCAATAAAGTATCGGCGTCTTCCCAGTAGAACAAAATCAGTCGCCACTCCCGAAAAATTTGCACGCAAACTCACACGGCTACGAACTCGCTATTTGAAAACGAAAAACTTCTCCTTAGTATTGCAATAGCAAACAGTCATCGCTGAACTTGAAAGACTTCGGTTTATCAGTGGAATAAATGCTGAAAGACACGCGCTCAATAGCCATAATAAAAGCCTTGAACTCAACAAGCTGATGAGAAGTAGAAACAAGACTACAGAAACCCCAACCATCTTGATTCATGGCAAGCAAATAACTAGTAATCCGATAGCTGTTGAACTGTTCGCTGAGCTTGGCAATTTTGTTGTAAACGTTTCGTCACCAATCGAGGTGACATCATCAGTGCGTAGTTGAGTGGCTTGCAATAGCGTAAAGTAGCGTAGAGGAGCCAACTAGCAATCCAACTATCATAAGTAGCGGTTTTATTAATTACTTTTGTTCTACATTTAACGCCACTACTGAGTTTACCTAGCAAATCCTCCCTCTGTTTACTGAGAACAAACTGCACAGTTGCTTTGGAACTCCGTGATATAAATCGACTTATTTCCTCCACTAAATTTTCCTGGTATGCTGGGTGTGACAATTTACCATCAACACTGATAAAAAACGGTGGATCCGACATCCCTGTACTACTACTGAATCTTTTATCTCTCTATGAAAGCCGGTACTGTGCCATCACAATGGAAGAAGACTGCAGGCATTCTTCGTTACAAGTCAAGCACTGCGCATGAAATGAGCAACTACCGCCCAATAAGCCATACTACTATACTCCCTAACATGATGGAGCGTCTCATAAAGTCCAAAACTGTTGACTTCATGATGACGCGAAATCTTACCAACATCTCACAACACGGTTTCCTAAGTGCGCGATCCTGCATCACATGTCAGATCGACTTTCTCAATCTCCTGACTAGTGCGCTGGATGGCGGTTCATCAGCAATGGTCATCTACCTCGATATGCACAAGGCATTTGATCGTGTCCCGCATAACTACCTCTTATCCAAACTAACTGCACATGGCATAGGCAACCTTCCGCTTTCATAGTTTGATTCTTACCTCACAAACAGAACCCAAATTGTTCAGATTCAACACGAAACAAGCACGCCAAAGCCTGTCACCAGTGGCGTGATACAAGGTAGTGTTCTGGGACCCTTTTTATTCCTACTATATGTAAACGATATTTTTGACATCTTTTCCTCCGGCAAACCTTTCCTATTTGCCGATGACATAAAATTGTTTACACTTTTAATCCAACTGAGGTCAGTATTATGCTAAGCGAAATCCAGCGTGACTTAAGTGCGCTCGACTCATGGAGCTCCAAATGGATGATGACATTCTCTGCTGATAAATGCCACGTAGTATCCTACAGATGTGACATCATACCAGGTTCGCTTACTATTGATGGTAAACCATTGTCTCACTGCCACACTATCCGTGACCTAGGGATCCACTACTCAAACACCCTTAACTTTGCCGAACACGCCGCACATACTGCAGCTCAAGCCCGTCGGAGCATTGGGCTTCTGTTCAAAACATTCAACTTGAAAGAATCAATTAACACTATGTATAAAATAAAAACACATCCATTGCTTGATTATGGCTCCATCATCTACTGTAATTCTAGAGTGAGTGATCGTATGACATTGGAAAGTGTACAACGATCATTTACTAAGCGTCTACTAGGCTATTCCACCACCCTTTCTTATATGGATCGTTGCATTGCCTTAAAACTTGATCCACTGTGGTTGCGAAGAATAAAAATTAACCTTTTCATCTTCTTTTATACAATTACCCAAAAAATACACTCCTCACACCCAACAGTCCAACGAGCAGAAATGTAAATGTATCGCACTCGAAATAATAACCGCAACAAAGTTAAAGTGAAGAGATCACGAACAAAACTGTCCGACAACTTTTTCCTTAACCGGTACTTCATACTACGGATCAGACTTCTATCTGAGTTTCGTGAAATCCAGTCGGGGATAACGTTCCCACACGCTATACATTCATTACTAAACGTTGAAACAACGATTTGTATATTGCGTCCTACCATGACAAAGGATTCTGCGTACGAAATTGGTGCAAGATGGATAAAGCCTCAATAACTGGGTACTTTTTCTTTATCTTGTTGTCAGACCTTGCTACCTTCCCCATGTCTATCAGTTGATAAAAGCTGTTTTCTAAAGTAAAATTATT